ACACTGATGAAAAGTATTATTCAACCAATCAAATTTATTGAGTACTGACAGTAGGCAAAAATAGGATATGAAGATAATATGAATAAAATCTAAGTTCCCTGTCCTCAAGTAGTTTTATTTTTAAACTAGAGGCCCTGTGCCCGAAATCCATGCACTCGGGGCAGGGGGGAGGTTCCCTCAGCCCAGCCTGTGCCCTCTCGCAGTCCGGGAGCCCTTGGGGGATGTCCGACTGCCGACTTAGGCCCGCTCTAAGCCAGCAGTTGGATGTCCTTAGTGCTGCCACCGCTGCGCTCTCCAGCCGTGAGCCCGGCTCAGGGTTTCTGGCTGAGTGGCACTCCCCCTGTGGGAGCGCACTGACCACCAGGGGGCAGCTCCTCCATTGAGTGTCTGCTCCCTGGTGTTCAGTGCGCGTCATTGTGACCGGTTGTTCCATTGATTGGTTGACTTTCATGTTAACCTTTTATTATATAGGAAGGATATATTTTTATTGATTTCAGAGAGGAAGGGAGAGGGAGAGAGAGATAGAAACATTAATGATGGCTGTCTCCTGCATGCTTCCTACTGGGGAATGAGCCCTCAACTAGGGCATGTGCCCTTGAGCGGAATTGAACCCAGGACCCTTCAGTCCACAAGCCGATGCTCTATCCACTGAGCCACACCAGCTAGGGCCACAAGTAGTTTTAAAGGGACTGTGTGTGCTCAGGGTATTCCCAGCACTTATCTTGTGGTTTATATTTTGCAAGTGTTTCTGGAATGATCAACCAATACAGTGCAGTAGGAAAGATAGAATATTTTACTGTGTGATAAATGCTATAATTCTGTGGTAGAATTAAAAAGCAAATGAAAGCTTTAGGAACCCTAGAGGGAAATAAGGAATGTTGCAGAGGGAAATAGGGAGATTGAATGTTTGATTGTATCACCAGATTGTTGTTTGGGGAGAAGGACTAACTGGGAAAGTGAAGACATTCCTACCTTAGCAAACAGTGTGAGCAAAGCCTTGAAAGTATAAAAATGCATGACCAATTTAGTGAGTTGTCTAGTATGGTTTGATAGAAATAAGAGTTAAGACTAGAATGATAGAGTGGCTCCAGAGATTTTGAAGAATTAATGATATAAGGAGTTTGGATTATTATTTTTTAAAAAAATATTTTTTATTGATTTCAGAGAGGAAAGGAGAGGGAGAGAGAGATAGAAATATCAATGATGAGAGGGAATCATTGATTGGCTGTCTCTTGCATGCCCTCTATTGGGGATCGAGCCCACAGCCCTAGCATGTGCCCTTGACGAGAATCAAACCCCAGACCCTTCAGTCCGCAGTCCATTGAACCAAACCGGCTAGGGTGGAATATTTTTGTTTTGAGTCAGGAGCAATCAAAGGTTTTGAGGAATGGGTGGGATATAAAATCAAATCTGAATTTTAGAAATTAACCAACTATGAGACGCTGATAACCAGTTACTAGAGAGTCTAGAAAAGGAACGTACATGTAGCAAAGTTGAAAGAATGAGGTACTCACCAATCAGTGACATGAATGATAGGAAAGAAGGGATAGATTTGGGAAATACGTTTTGAAATTAAAATCCATTAGAGTTTCAAGGGAGAATGAGAAAAGGATTCAAGGATTTTTTGACATTCCTGTCCTGTATCAGTAGTTGTTAACCAGGATAGGAAACTTACAAGGAAGAATATGCTTGTGTAATGAATGGGGGTCCGCTTTGCACACGTGGAATTGATTTTGAGATGGGCATGGGACATGTATTGGAGCCCTCCTATGTGTTTTCATAACACCCTTTGCATACCTCTATTATAGCAAACACTAGACTGTACTGTATTGTAAGTACTTGTTTCCGTGTGTTTTTCCTATACCACTGTAAGCCTGTCAGAAGTATAGAGAAGTAAGCCAGTGAGCTAGTGAGATAGCCAGGAGGAAATGTGGAAAAAGAAGAGGAACGGGATGGAATTTAATGACTGGACAGAAGAGAAGGAACCTAAATGACAGCTGAGAAAAGGTAGTCAGAGGTAGAAAATGGAAGGAAAAAGACGAGTTTCAGAATAAGAAAATGGTCAGTATTTTCATTTATTTCAGCTGGTAGAAGTAAGATGAGAACAGAAAAGAATTCTTTTGGTTTTGAAATTGTGTTGTTGATTTTTAGAAGAAGAGGTTCGTGAGGGTGAGAGGAGGGTAGGCAGAGTTTTGAGAGGGACTGCTCAGTTTGTGTGGGGAATACCTTTGAAGTGGTAGAGCTGGAGGCAGTCAATACTACTCCTTTACGAAGAAAGAGTTTCAAGAAAACTAAAGGAATAAAGATAAGTCTGAGCCCTCGACTAGTGGCTGGACTAGCACAGTTAGTCAAGCATGTCAAGTTCAGTTACAAGTACCACTCACACCTTTTTTATCAAGTTAAGTAGGTCATTGGGTTCACATTTTGGCTTTGCCTCTGAGCAGTTACATTACAACCATAACCTTGAATAAGTTACACCATATCTTTAAGCCTCAGTTTCCTCATCTGTAAAATAGATATGTAATGATTAAATTAGGCATTCACCAGCAAATTGTAATACTGTATATAGGCACTATAAAAAATGTAAAATGCTGTGGGAGCAGAAATAAGGCAAATAATTCATTTGGCTTGGGGGTGAAAATGGGCAGACTACTAGAAAAGGGAGGATTAGATCATGAATGATGAGTTGCAGTTGATGGAGCACAGAAGCAAGGAAACCACTTTAAGAAGAGTGTACTATGAGTGCAGATACGTGGAGGTATTGAAGTTCAGATGCTTCTCGACTTATGATGGGGTTATGTCCTGATGAACCCATCATAATTTAAAATATTGTAACTCAAAAATGCATTTAATACATCTAACCTACCAAACATCATCGCTTAGCCCAGTCTACCTTAAATGTGCTCAGAACACTTACATTAGCCTACAGTTGGGCAAAATTATTTAACAGAGACTATTTTATGATAAAGTGTTGAGTATCTCAGGTAATTTATCATGTGTATCGCTTTTGCACCATCATAAAGTTGTACCATCATAACTTAGGGATTGTCTGTATACAGGGTGTCCCCAAAAATATTTACACACCTTGATTATAAAGTCAATGTTTATTAACATAAAGTTCATTTTCAAAATTTAAAAGAATCTACAGAAATGAATTTATTTTTTTGTCAACACATGTTTTCAAACTGATGATCATTCTGGTCCAAGCACTGCTGATAACGAAAAACAATGGAATTGCAAACATCAAAGAAAGAATCATTTCGTTCCGTATTTGTGCACCCTCAATTCATCGACTGTTGCTGGTTTTGTACTGTAACTTTATCTTTGATGGATCCTCATAAAAAGTCTAGTGGCACTATAGGATACATTTTCTTCAGAGCTTAGTCTGGCTTCATCCATTCTTTCAAATCAGTTTTACCTGAAAAGGAATAAAAATTGAGTTATCAGCTGTTACTTAAAGTGTGTGTACATTTTTGGGGTACACCCTATATGTCCTTAGCAAAGACATTATTACCACCTCTAATACATATCTTAGCTCCATGTCTAAGCGCCTCTCCGAACATGTTCCCATGTAGTTGTTTTTGTTTTGTGTTTACCCTAAATCAGTTCCTGTTAACCTGTGCAATTGCCTGTATTCTCAACTAAACTATAAACTCTTTTGGGGCGAGAATCTGATCTGTTCTTTAGACTCTAGTCACTCAGTATTCATTGACTGGATGAAGCAGAACTACAATAAAAAAAAGTTTTCAAAAGTACTTTCTGGAGCATGCATTTAGATTTTGTGCTATGAAATGTAGAGCTGTGATTTCCTGGAAGCAAAGAAATTAATTTAAGTAGAAAGCAGCAAAGAGTTCTCGATTAGAGCCTTAGTTATACCTAGTTAAATGATCCTTTCTTGGGGTTGCCATTTCCTTATTTGTTTAATATTATTTATGATTTCTAAGTTTTCTTTCAGCTATATTATTTAGGGATTGTGTGATTCATGCTGCCAGGTGGTTATCTAGGTGTGAACCTTTGAAGGAAAAATAGTGCGAGGCATGTGGTATATGTTCAATAAATATATGTTCAATTAAAAATCCAAAGAATAAATCAGAATTTCGTAATTGGAAAGATTAAACAGACTCTCAGAACCTTTACTTAGAGGTACAAGATGAGCATAGAGCTGGAGTTACTCTCGCTAATTGGTTAAAGCTTTCTGACTACATTATAACATTGTATTTGTTCTGTTGCTGTTTTGGCAACCAAATGAGAACATTGCCACAAAGTATGCAGAACCAGGTTTTTAAATGGTAGATAAGTTTGAGTTTTATTTTAGGAGTCAATAAATAATTGAATGGCTTTTCATAAGTGACACATTTTTATACTTCCTGTTGGGAATTTATGGCTTAAAACACTTTTATTGGTAATGTTCATATTGAGTAGAGCTCTAAGAAACTGTGAAATGGGGAGGTTAAGTTTTTAATGGACTAATGATTCCTTGCTACATAAGGTATTTCCCAACTGTAGAATTTATGATTGCCCTGACTTTAATTTATTTCTCTTGGTGGTTAATGTAGAATTTTCTTTCTTAAAAACACATGTTAGTATTTAAGTATCAATAATGGTAGGAAAACCTTAGTGATTTACTTGAGTGCCTTCAATATAATTTATTTGTACAGCTTTACAAATTAAAGGATAGAAAACAGAAGTGTAGTACTGTTACAATTTTAAAGGCCAAGATTAGAGTTGCAACATGTGCCAAATAAATCACTGTAGGTAGAGTTGTTCTCGAGGGAATATGTTTTATTTATTTGAAATCTGAAATATCTTGGCTCTAAATAGCATTAAATTCCCTTATTATCTAGATTAGAAAACCTAAACTGTAAGTGGTGAAAGTCTGGGAAAATATTTTGGAAGTGTTTTTTAAATAGTTTTTCCATTTGTATTTTGTAAGAATTAGAGCATAAATGAATATCTGGTAGACATTCTATATGAGTATCTTTATGGTTTTTGTTTTTCAGGCATTTTAAAAATATTTAATCATTCATGAGTTGAGCTTCATTCTTGAGTCATGGATGACAAGGCTTCTGTTGGAAAAATCAGTGTGTCCTCAGACTCAGTATCCACTCTTAATAGTGAAGATTTTGTCTTGGTTTCCAGGCAAGGAGATGAGACACCATCTACAAATAATGGGAGTGATGACGAGAAAACAGGACTCAAGGTAAAACTCCATAACCTAAGTGTCTTCTGTTTAACCTTGCTAAGCCCATTGCAAAACTTGGCCTTCATGGGAAGGTATATGGAGTGCAAGTGAGAACATGGAAATAATATCCTTTCTTTTTAAATACTAAAAAGTTTTATTTACAATTAGTGATAATGACACATTTATATTTGATTAAGAATTTTTAATTTGATTACTTCTAAACTTCTATTACCCCTGTCAAAATTAGTGGTCGTGTAAACATTTGTAATTTTAGTGTTGTTTTCACTTTCTCATTGAATTTGAAGTGATTGTTTTGGTGTATGTAGTGTAAGGGCAGTGGCAGGTCAGCAATGCTATTTATAAAAAAGAATTTTAGGATTATTGAAATGGACCTTTAAATTCCTGGCTTTTGGCCACTTCTGTTTGTTTATATTTTCTCAGCCAAACAGCTATTACTTCTTTTCCCATACCCGGTTATTGTTTTGCTCTTTATGGATATAAATAAAAAGTTTACCTGTTAGCATCATTTAAAATGTAAGTAGCTTTAGAAACATTGCTATTCCTGTTTACATATTTTCATTTAACAAGTCTTTATTATTATCAACTGTGTGCCAAGTACTATCCTATATAATAAAAGCCTAATATGTAAATTGTCCCCTCGACCTGGAGTTTGACTGCTTGCTATGACATGCGCTCACCACCAGGGGGCGGTGTGGAACATGGTGGGTGTCGGTGATGGGGTGCTGGGCCCCCACGAGAGTGGGACCGTGGCGGGATGGTGGAGCGGGTGAGCAGATGGCACCAGGCCATGGTGGGTGCAAGTGGGGCCTGATCACCCTGCAGACGACTAGTGGCGGGAGCGGGGCCGCCACCTGGCTCCCAGGTGCTAAGGGAGCCAGGTGGGGCCCAGGTGCTGCCCAGGGCCCAGAGGTCAGCTGGGACCTTCCCTTCCATGCCAGACGCTTGTGCTTCGATTGCCAGCCAGGCTTAGGGACCGTGCCCATGCACTAATTTTGTGCATCAGGTCTCTAGTTCTAAATACTTGAGATACAGTGGTGAATAAGATAGGTAAAGAAAGCTCTGTGTCCTTCTTGGAGGAAACAGACTCTAAGCAAATAAGAAAGCAAATATAAGTAAATTTAAGTGCTGTGAAGAAAATCAAAGTAGGATATGTGGATAATGAGTGAAGGGGCAGGTACTATTTTAGAGAATGTCTTGAAATGACATGTGAGCAGAGACCTGAATGAAATGAGGAAGAAGATCAAGGAGAAATCAGGGAAAAGAGCTTTCCACAGGGAATAGAAAACAGACTCTGAAGAGGGTCCCCCTTATTAGGACAGAGATAGAACAGAATGAATAAAGTAAATAAGTGCTAGAAGACGAGATCCAATGACAGGTAGGGGCTGGTTTAAATAGAACTTTTTAGAGTTTAGTAGGAATTTGGGCTTCGTTTCAGATGTGAAAGGAATTTTTGGAGAGTTTTGAATGGGGCATGATATAGTTTTCACTTTTAAAAAGCTCACTGGCTGGGCACCTCCAGCATAACAGCATGGAAGCTCTGTGGAACTGTTCCCCAGCAGCAGTGGTAATAGTTATTAAAAAACAACCACTGAAAGTCTGTGGAAATGTTCTAAAGGATGAAGAAACATTTATTCAAGGAAATTTACTAAAATTTGGTAAACAATTCTATGGTATTTGAACCAAGACCAGTTTTTTTCCCCCTCCTCTATCCCAGCCAAACATCATGGTAATAAGTCCATTTCACATTGGTGCAATCAAGAAAACAGGGTTTCCTCCCCACCCCACTCCCACCCCCCAGCTCACAGGTCTGAGGACTATCTTATAGACAATAGCATTTTTCACCCTGCCTCCAGCCTTTTTTTTTTTTTTTTTTTTTTTTTGCTGGCCAAGTGTGACAGTGGTGGGGGCCCCAGCCCTTAACTCTCTGCATGGAGGCTATACATTGGGCATAGTGCTGCTGAGTATACCAGGAGCCTGATTGCCCTTGCATGTAAAGTAGTGGTCCCCACGACTAGAGTCAAGCCAAAAGGACTTGAGACCATTATACCACCTCCCATACTCACCAAGTGCTCAGCTTCTGAAGTTGAGGTATCACTCAAGGAGAAGCATGCCATTGTCTATACTTTCAACCTTATAGCTGTGGCTCAAAGGTTTTGCCTATAGTGAGAAGGGGGCCATAAAACAGTTCCTAATCTCTTTCCAAAGGAATTGATTTTATTTACAACAGAGTGTGGATAAGTTAAAGCCTAGGGGTACTCCCCAAAACAGTGGAGGTGTAGTGAAAGGTAATTGGGAAGAGATTTGTAGATTGATTGGACATACAGGCTTAACTGTAGGATTGCTAGGCGGAGACCACCTCGGATCAGAACAAAACTCAAACACTGACTTCTGGAGCTCTCCCTTCAAAGTAACCTCAATTTGGTATATTCTGTGGAGCAATTTATATTTGTTGAAAACTATACAGCAATCAGCCATAATTACTGGAGTGGTCAGAGAAGGAACAGAGCATATTGCTAAAACCACTCTTATCCCGGGATGACTGTAGGCAAATCCTAATCTGATACCCAAAGGAGCAGCATCAGAGGCTTAACACTGTGGGAATTATGGGAATAGAATTTTCTAAAATAAGCCCGCTAGTCACTAAACTAACAAGCAAGCATAAAAAATAACAAGAGTGGGGAGACCAATACTGAAAATTGATACAATATAATACCTAAAATACCTAGTTTCCAACAAACAAACAAAAATTGTGAAAAATGCAAAGAAACAAAATACAATCCATACATCATAGAAAAGGCAGTATATACTGCTTGTGAGAATGTCATGTTGGAATTAATATACCAACTCTTCAAAGTAGCCATTAACATCCATGAATTGAAATAAATCATGCTTAAAGAAATAAAGTTCAGTGACAGTATTAAATAGAGAATATCATTAAGGAGATAGAAATTACAACAACAACAAAAAGCACCTAACTGCAATTCTGAATAGGAAAGCAAAAACTAAAATGAAAAATTCACTAGAGAAGCTCAGTGGTAAATTTCAACTGGCAAAAGAAAGAGTTAACAGGAGATGATGCCATCAAAATAGTACAGGAGTTTTCTACCGCTCTGCTCTCAAGGAACACTGATTTAGATAATCACTTACAGATGAGAGTACCTTTGTGAAAGTCTGGGAGTTCAGCAGAGAAGTTCCAGCACAGTGTTGGAGCACAAAACATCCTAAATTGGACTCATTGAAGACTATCAAAGGACTAGTTTCACTTTACCTGTGTCACCCCTAATCCAAGGTGGCGCACAACTCAGTGCCAAGAGACACTTACTCAGCTAAATTGAGCAACATGTTCTCCAAATTTAAAATGTTTTCTCTATTTCCATGTAATTACAGTATACCTATACAGTATATACCATTTTTTTGTGTGTGAAGACCTGGTAAGTGAAGTAGTAATAAAATTAGATAACTATGAGTTCTATTATCAGAGGAAACTATAACGGGATTACTGCAAGTTTGTTGCCCAGTTATGCTCACTCTTTTTGAAACATTTTCTCAGCCACTAGATTTTAAAACTGCATTGAATTTAGAAAATACATTTAATATGTCTATCACTCTTCCATCTAAAGGTTTTAATTGAGTGGTTTGTTGAATATTCAGGTGATAGCTAGTAATCTACCAAGTGTTTTAGGCATTCAGGATAAGAACTCCTATTTTGAAAATAGGATGACCTAGTAAACCTTATAATGCCAGCACAAAATACTTGGGAAAGCTGGATGAAATATAACAAACACCCCTTTAATAATAGCTGTATTCATAAGACAATAAAGAAAATCCCTAAGGAACAAAAGCCAAGAGGAAACTGAAAGTTAGAACAATGCATATGAGATGACATTGGGGCTGCACTGTTCTTTACAACCAGTGGACTTTGGTTTTGATAGCAGCTACACTGGGAAAGAGAGAACGCCTTGGGTTTTACAGAGAGAGTAGTTGGAACTGAGATTTCATTATAAAGCACCGTTAAGGGCTACTCCTAACTGAAAGAATAGACTTGAAAAAAAAATTTTCTTATAGTCACAGGAAGAAAATAAGGAATTTTATATTTCTTAGCCTGAACGCCAGTTTAGAGGAGAGTCTTGTTGAGCTTTTTGTACCCATAGGCTTGCCTTCATGTATGTTTGGGGTGTGAATTTACATTATGTGCATGGTCCTGGGTTGGTAAATACTCCTGGGGCACATGATAGAGTAAATTGTAGAACTACTCTGGAGGGACATACTTGCCACCCGGGCTGCATGGTAGTCTCACAGATAACCCTGATAAAAAATAGTACACATTTCAAAATTTACAAATATATACAAAGGACAGTTTATTATAAGCAAGAGACAGCAAATCTGAGCAGGATCAAACTCACCAAAATTTAGGCACTTGCATTAGCTGTAACCTTAAGATATACTAATTTAAATGATTAAAGATTTAAAGAAAAATTTATAAGCATTACAAAAGAACAAAATTATCAAAAAATTTAAAAGAACAGGCAAATTTAAAATAGAACTTCTGCAAATGAAACTTAGAGGCAGTGAAATTAAAGATTCAGCATTAATCAGCAGAATAGACATGGCTAAAGAGAGAATCAAATTTTTGTAATGTAAATCTTAGGAAATTACCCAGAAGATAGCACTGAAAGATTATAAAGTATGAAAGGTCAGTTAAGAGACATGGAGACTTGGATGAGAAGGATCAACATATCTATATCTATATACACTGAATGGCCAGATTATTATAACCACCTGACGTTTGTAGGCAAATTAGTCGTACACTGCATCATATGGGATATGGAAGCCGAAGGCCTGTTCAAACACCTTTGCTGTCTGCGGTTACCAAGATAAAATACCTCCAATTCTCACAGGATGACAAGGATTGGACAGTCGAGCATTGGAAAAAAGTCATGTGGTCCGATGAATCACGTTTCCAGTTGCATCATGCAGATGGCAGAGTGAGAATTTGG